GCAAGCCTACTTCTTGGCCAGTGCCCCAGCACTGTCCTGTCTGGGTAGGGGGCCAAGTCCTTACAAGAAGAGGGCCCAGGGGTGTTTATCCCATGAGCACAGGACAGGGGCTTTCCAACACTCTTTTCAGACTTTAACTCCCCCTCACATTGATCCCTTTTAGATCTGATTCTTTTGCAACAGGCTTTTATTCTGAAAGAACCAAGAGTCACTGGCCCTGAAGGTGGGAGGAGGTCAGAGGCTGGAACTGGCACTGGTCCTGAGGCTGCCCCACCCTTCTGGGCTGTTTTCCAGGACAGGGACTCTAGGACCCTAGGAGTGGGGCCTTTGCTGGCCTCAGACGCTCTCCCCTTTTCCCCTTTCTCCAGCCTTGCTGGCTTCTAAGGAGAGGGTCCTTATAGCCAGGCCTGCTGACCTGTCCCCCACTGCCCGCCTTCCGCCCACCCCACGTCGCTCATCTTTCTATCCCTGGGCCCTGATTTCTCCTCCTGCTTTTCCGGCCTTGCAGACGTGAGGCCCGAGCGCAGTGTCCAGGTTCCGCCTGTCCCCTGTTTCTTTCTGAGCGCGACGGACGGAAGTCTAAGATAGTCGGGACGTGTTCAGATGTTTGTAAACGTGGAATGGGCGGAGCCCTGTGGGGGTGGGTGGCGAGGATCTCGACTGCACAGAGGGTTCAGTGTTGGTCGGCCGTGGTGGGCTAAACCCACCCCCGTTCCGAGGGAGAAGGAGGAGGCTGTCCGCTCCCGCCAAGATGTGCCGTCTGGGAAGCCCCGCAGCGCAGCTCCAGCCTGCCCTGTAGGTTTGTTAGGAATCCGAATCGACTCTGGCAGTGGGTTCCATTTTGGGTCCCCCTGTCCCGAGCTGCTCCCCCTCTTCCTGCAGGGGAAACGGTAGCCCCTGCTGCCCATGGTCTTAGATCTGAGGCTCCTTTTAGTGATCAATGGCCGGAATAAGCCTGGGCCATGGTGTTGGAGCCATGGGACACCACTCAGGACTTTCTTGAGGAGAAGGACCAGGAGCGGGGGTGGGGGGGCTGGAGTGATGGGGAGCTCCCATTTAAATTCTTGAATTCAAGTTGCCATTTCCCAAAAGGCTCAGCAGGACGGAATTGTCCTGTCCTGAAATGTCCAAAGCCGAGTCCTCTCTTAGGAGGAAAGCACGGGTCTCGTGGGAGAGAGGAGAAGGTCGTTCTCCTGACCCCGATCCAGTTTGCCTACCTCTCTGGAACCGGCTGGGGGGTGGCTATTGTGGGGCGGCGCAGTGTGAGCCAGGAGGACTTTGGTCCAGGGGCTGCAAGTTACAGATTAACACGGGGAGCAGGCCCCGAGGGAAGTGGCCTGAGGAAGACACCGGAGGAGCTGAGGCCATCTAGGTTTGACGGGGGCACACGGATCAAGCGGCACCTTCTGGCGCAGGCCCTCAGCTCTCTGAGTTATCGGCTCTTCCTGAAGACCTGCTCACACACCGCCTCCCTGGCTGTCAGTTCCTGGGGAGAAGAGAGAGACAGAGACGAGGAGGCCAGAGAATGAGATTCCTTACCCATCCGAGCTCCTTCCTCAAGGGCCCTGACCTCCCCAGAGTCAGTCCTTCAGGAGAAGTGGGCGAGGGCCTGTGATGTATGGGAATGGTTCCATTGTTCCAAACCCTCAGCCTTCCAGCCCGGAGGAAGGAAGCTAGTCAGGGGCTGGGCTGGCTAAACCTCAGTGTCTCGCAGTCATGATATGGGGGCAGTCATCCGGGCCCATCTTGGCCACTCTACTTCCTCCTCTTTTCCCCACCCTTCTCAGTCCTTTTGTTCTCCTCCTTGGGGTGGGGGGCAGGAGGGGGGAGTAGGCTTATTTGGTTTGGGCAGGGGCGCTGTATCCTGGCTGGGGGGCCCCTCTCCCAGATACTCCATCTTTGTGCCCCCGCCCCTCCCACTGTCACCCAACTCACCAGATACAGCTTCTCCCCTCCAGCCAATGTCTCCAGCCTCGGTTGGGGACCTCCCCTTTCTGCACACACACTAGCTGGTCTTCCTCCCAGGTCACTATGGTCTGTGGGGGGAGGCAGGAAGAAAGAAAGGTTGGGGGGCAGGTCCTGATATGCATCCTGACTCCCCTCGCCCTGACCTCCCTGCAGTCCCCTTTCACTTCCCTGCAGACCCAGTCTTGCTCAGCATCTTCTTCATTTGGGAGGCAGCGCGCTGCTCGGAGGCAGCATGGGGCCTGGACCCCACTTCTACAGCCCAGAGGGCCAGCGGGTGAGGCTCCAAATGATGAGCGGGGTGGGGAGCGTGAAAATGGAAACTTCCCCCTCTGGAGACTCCAGTTCAGGGAAGGGAGAGGCTCTTTTTTTTTCTTCTTCAATTTTAGAACGTTTTGTTTTATTTATTTATTTTTTTAAACATTTTATTAGGGGCTCATACAACTGTTATCGCAATCCATACACACATCAATGGTGTACAGTGCATTTGTACATCATTCTCAAAACATTTTCTCTCCACTTAAACCCCCAATATTAGGTCCTCATTTTCCCCCTCTCTCCCTGCTCCCCCCTCCCTCATGAGCCCTTGATAGTTTATAAATTGGTATTTTGTCATATCTTGCCCTGTCCGATGTCTCCCTTCACCCACTTTTCGGTTGTCTGTCCCCCAGGGAGGAGGTCACATATAGTTCCCTCTAATCTGTTCCCTCTTTCCTACCCATTCTCCCTTTACCCTCCCTGTTTCGCCACTCACACCACTGGTCCTGTATTTTCAGTTCCTATCTGTACCAGTGTACCTCCTCTGGTCTAGCCAGACTTGCAAGGTCGAATTCGAGTCATGGTAGTGGGAGCAGGGAGGAAACATTTAGGAACTAGAGGAAAGTTGTATTTTTCATCGTTGTTACATCGCACCCTGACTGGCTCATCTCCTCCCCGAGACCCCTCTGCAAGGGGATCTCCAGTGGCCTACTAATGGGCTTTGGATCTCCACTCCACACTCCCCCCATCATTCACTATGGTAAGATTTTTTGTTCTGATGATGCCTTATACCTGATCCCTAGGGAGAGGTTCTTTGGGAGAACCTGCTGACATATTGGAAGCACTCACTCATCTGACACACTCACTCATCTACACCCAGAAATTTGGAAAACAGTGACCTGGCCAACTGACTGAAAGAGATCCATATCTGTGCCCATCTTAGAAAAGTGGCTCAACAGTGTGGAAATTATAAAATAATATTGCTATTATCGCAAACAAGTAGGATTTGCTTTTCTCATTTCCTTCCCTCCTTTTCTCATTTTCAACCGCAGCTCCAGTGTCCAAACCCCAGAGTCAGAGCTGGAGGGACCCGGGCATCCCAACCAACGTTGATGGAGGTTGAAAGCAAAGCAATCGAACCCGCTGCCTTGGGGTCGACACAGACTCAGGAGACCCCGTGGGCCACCAAGTAGAGCAGCTCCATCGGTTTCCCTGGTCTACGCTGTATGGGCGCAAGTAGTCAGGTGCCACGGGGGTGGGCTTCAGCTGCCAGCCATTAGGTTAGCAATTGATTGCAAATCACTCCTGCCTCCAGGAGCCGTAGGGGAGGTCCGGCGCAGTAAGGAGCTCACCATCTTGAAAAGTGAGTGAACCAGGACATTCTCCTCTGTTATACCGAGCAAGTGTGTTGGGACGGGAGTGGGGAGGGAAGAGCTGAGTTTTAAAGGAAGTTGGGTGTTCGTGAGATCGACAACAATGGGACATTTCTAGCAAGGAAGGAAATGACAGAGAGGTAGGAGAAAAAGGCAGAATCCTGAAGGGCTCCCACCTAGAGTGTGTGTGCGAGATCAACGAGGGCTTGTTGGGTTAAGCACACGAACCTTGCTGGGATTGATAAGGTTACATTTATACTCCAGATAGATCCTTGTGGCTACAACATACAGAGGGGATTAGAGAAGGGTCAAGACTGCAGGGTCAACTTGGGCTCCAGGTGTGAAATGAGGGCCTCAAAGAAGGTAATGATAGTGAGGGCGGTAGGAGCTCTGGTGGTACAGGGTTACATGTAAGACTGCTAACTGCAAGGCTAGCGGTTTGAAACCACCAGCTGCTCAGTGGGAGAAAGACGAGGCTTTCTATACCCGCAAAGAGTTAGGGTCTGTAAGCTCACAGAGGCAGTTCTACCCTGTCCCATCAGGCCTCTATGGTCAGCATTAGCTCAATGGCAGTAAGTAAGTAAGTAAGTGAGAATGGTTCGGAGCAGATGAGAGCCATGTAGAACAGCATTCTTTAGTAGAAAATATAATGTGAGTCCCAGCTACCAGCCACATACACAATGTCACATATTCTAGTAGTTACATTAGAAAAGTAAAAGAAACGAGTGAGTAAAATTTAATTGATCCGGTGTTTTTAATGGAACTGATGATAACTTCCGGGAATCCTGGTGGTGTCGTGGTTACTGCTGGGCTGCTAACTTCCAGGTCAGCAGATTGAAAACATCATTTGCTGCACAAAAGATAACAAGGTTTTCTAATTCCATAAAGAGTGACAGTCTTAGAAACCCACAGGGGCAGTTCTACCCTGTCTTACAGGGTCACTATGAGTTGGAATCAACTTGATAGGAGTGAGTTTGTTTAAAAATTTTATGAATTCATAATTTCAGTATGTAATCAATACTTCTAATGGGGTGTTTTTACTTTACTTTTCTCCAAAATCCAGTGTGTATTCTATATTTACAGCACATCTCAGTTTGGACTAGTTACATTTCAAGTATTCAGTAAAGTCACATGTCGTCAGTAGCTCATAGCAGTTATTAGGTTGGACAGTACACAAACATGATAAAGATTTCTCAAATCATTAGCTTGTGTGTGTGTGTGTGTGTGTGTGTGTGTGTGTGTGAGATGGAGGCACAGACATAAGGGAAATAAATTATATTGATCATGATTCCCAGGCCTCTGGTTTGATGACTGGCTATTGCCATTAATGGCGACTATAACTACAAAAGGAGGTGCTAGCTTGTGTAGAAAGAGAATACCTGGGGACTTGACCTTGGGGCTGACAAATAGAATGTTGGGCATGTGGTTGAGAGCCTGGCCTTGGAGTTCAGAGGATAGCCCTGGCTGGAGGACGCTGGAGGACCCATGTCAAGGGCAGTTTATAAGTGGTAGCTGGAGGTGTGAGTGCAGATAATTCAGCTCACAGAGGGTATATAGAAATGACTGTGAAAATCAAGGTTAAAACACAGAGGAAGCCCCCATTTGAGAGATTACTAGGGGCAGTGTAGTGGTTATGAGTTGGGCTGTGATCTGCAAGGTCAGCAGTTTGAAACCACCAGGGAGAAAGATGGGGCTTTCTACTCCTGTAAACAGTTACAGTCTAGGAAACTCACAGGGGAAGCTCTATCCTATTCTATAAGGTCATTATGAGTCAGCATTGACTCAGTGGCAGAGAGAGAGAGAGAGAGAGAGAGAGAGAGAGAATAGGAGAACGAAAAGGAACACCAAAGAGGTTGAAAGAAATGTAGGAGGGCGAGGTTGTTAAAGAAGCAGAGGGATGAGACTAATGACCCACAGGGACACACGCTAGAGGGGAAGTAAATATTTGCTCCCTGCCTAGGGGTGAGAGGGCCAAGGAGAAGTAGGAGAGAGTGGGGCAGCACCAGGTGCCTGTTAGTTCCAAGACTAGTTGCCAGGGGAGTCCACAGCCTACACAGCCATCATTTTCCCTGACCCTGGCTGGGTGAAATCTTTTTTTTTTTGCCCCCAATTGTTAAGAGGCACTTGTTCCCCCCCCCTCCCCCGCTGGCCCCGGTCTGCAGCAAAGTACCTGGCATTTCCGTCCATCCACCATCTTGAGGTTCTCTTCAAACTCAACTCCCACCTCGAATTCCAGAACGTAGTTGTGGAGGGTGCTGAGGGTCTTCACTGTCATGTGGTTGCCTTGATGGTCAATCTCCTTGTCTGGCTTCAGCAGCAACGCGATTTTCCGCACAGCCATGTTGATGTCTGTGGGGGTGACCTTTAGCAAGGGTTCTGCCAGCCCACCTGCGATTCCCCACCACAGCAGCGCCTCAGGGCTATGAGCATTCCCTACCTAGATCCACCTGGGGCCACACTCCCTCCTAGCATTGGAGGGCCACTTACTAAAGAGATGA